TGGTGGTGGTGATACCCGGCTGCGACTGATAGTGACGCTGTAGGGAATTCAGCCGTTTCACCAAATCTTCCCCATCGCTGGGCCGCCTGTACAAGGCGTGCATTTTGCTCGGGGAGCTGAGCACTTCCGTCAGCTGATGCAGCACCGAGGGATGGAGGAAGGTTGGTGTGGGTGCGCGTTTCGGTGGTAGAGCCTCGTCTTCAGCCGCCTCCGATGTCCGTTCAGTGCCCGAGGGCAGGTAATTGCGAAATTGGTTGGACAGACTGGCAATTACTCCGCCGTTGCCAGTACCGGTATGTGTGGCCAGTAGAGTCTCCATCGATTCCCTGGGGGGAAGGGAAGAGATTGGGGGGAGGGGAGTTAGTAAATTGAATCTGTTTATATGTGTGTGCGTTTGTGCCCGATGGGGGTAGAGCGATTAAGCGCCCTGACGTAAACAATAGTTGTCAGGCAGGAAACGTCGCGCCTTCGTTACCGGCGTGTGATTTAATGTCACCAAAAACTAGTGCTGTACCGAGGAAAGGGCAATGGGTGTAGCAGAAGGAAAACCATGGTTTGTCATCGGTGGAGTGACCGTGGTGACTGCCTGCAGTCAAGCGCAGGCATAAGGAAACCCGAAATCGACGATTGGCGGCAGCGGATCTGGAAACCTTCACCCAATCTCTTCTCCAGCGACGGAGACCGAGGATAGAAGGCCCAAGAACTGCTTCCATGTCTTGACGGACGGTGTCGAGCCAAGTCTTCAGTTGCCTCCTTCTCAACGTTTCTAGGTGGGCTGTGGCATCGGGTCGAGGGCAGCATAACTAAGCTCGTGGGGCGGACGATGGAGAACGTGTCCAAACCACCGCAGTCGCCTTTCTCGAATGGCCTGAAATATCCTCGTGATACGATCGCAGCGGATTAGGAATAGGCTTAGGGGTTCATGCTTAGAGTTAGTGGTTAGGATTTAAACACAGGTTTGGGGTCAAGTGATTGGACTCTCTATGTTGTCAACTTCACTTATACATATTTTTAGTTGCGACCGTCAGGCCAACTGTTCAACTATTGCTTACCGGAAACGGCTGAGCCCATCTATAAAACCCTATCACCACCATACAATAATTTCTTGTTTCCTGTTACCTGAATGTTTTCACTTATCGATCGTCGCCGACAAAAGTTTGGACTCAGAAGGGTAAGGGAAGTTAACGGGAGTAATACCTATTCGTTCATGTTTAACCGGCCAGTCGAATGCCTAGCCTTCCTAGGCGACGTTGGCACAATCGGTACGATATTAGTCAGTTTTCCTCGGTGCATTCCTCACGCTCACTTTTGGAAAGCCAGTGGGATGTTCGTCAAAGAGTGTCAATAGTTCTCGATCTAAACCGGTAATACAACGAGCTCGTGGCTCAGTGTTTAGAGCGCTACACTTCTGATCAAAAGGGGTCACGAGTTCGAGCCTCGGGTGATGTACCACCTGTGGCTGGGTATGATTGGCTGACGACGGTTAATAAGCCAGAAATGGCCAGTCTCCCAGTCTCCCGCTTGTCTTTGTCGGGAATACCAGCAGTGGGAAGTCATTGCGATGACCAGCGTCTACGCTAGTTTCCCAGCACTCGTAAAACATTTCGGTTTCCTAAAACTTCAGGACGCCAATTGAATGGACATAACTGAATGGAGTATTAATCAACAAGTAACGTTATCCAACTCACCGTTCAAAATCTGACAGCCGAGCGGAGTCCCGGAAGCCCTTTGCAAATGGATTGCAATCAATTTTCAATTTCGTTATCTGGAGAAAAAAAGAAAGTAAAAGACGGCTATCAATGTTGGTAGGCCTCCTACATTCGTTTCCAGAAAAATGCGTCCTCTGTCCCCGTGGGTAGGATGTGAGCTACTTCAAATCCATCTTATAAGAAGAATTCCTTGTAAGAGACTGGCTTTTTTTAGGTCTCCTTCCCTTTGTCCTAAGAGCTTCATAACGCACATTATTCGAACCGCATAAGTATGCACGTCTTTAATTTGCTCATAGTCGTGTGAACCCACAAGACGATCTCTACCTCGAACCTTCGTACCCTCGCTAATGAATAATTTCGGTTTTACCATAGTCGTCATCATCAGCATCATCATGAAGCTGCCTCGAACTGTACCCGCGTTCTAGGGGATCGATACCCGCTTGCTCGCTGTCATTTGTGGAATCGTTTGCTGTGCTGTCCGCAATCCCTAATGCAGAACATTCTTAATACGAACTAGGCGAAGAGAGAAACTCCAGAAAGGGCTTGTGCGACGTCCGAATTTGCACGC